AGCTGTCCGACCTTACTTTACCGCGTACACGCACACCCGGGCGGGTTTCATGCAGCTAAAGCCACTTCATAGTTGTGTTAGGCATTGTTTTCCCTTGCATGATCATCAACCAAACATAGCTAAGGTGCCTTTGGTGCGGGTTTAGTCGCTTGGTAAGGCACTCGGCTACGCAAACAACCCCCAAACTCTACCGCTAACCCTCTTGGCTTTCCCAGACAACCAGGTCAACCCAAACAATAATTAAGCACTAAATCTAGTCTTAGAAGTAAAATTTAGGAGGTTCCCGGATCTTTATAAAATACAAGATTTCTAAAATTTTACAGGTGTTACACATTCTCACTAAACCCAACATCTCTTTCTTGTTAGTATTTCTTCATCTTGTGGGTTGTACAACGATGTGCTTTGGTGTTTGTTGCTTACCCAACAAAAAATAAACTGTATGAAGTTCTAATCTAACTTTTGATGTGGACGTGACGGGATTAATTAGGCTATCAACTGAACCATTGTTTGCCACTCAAAGGAATAATTATGGATTATGAGTTCGTCTAACTATTCAAAATTAGGTTACATAAACCAACGTGCACTATCAATTCCAACAATCAAATAATGATAAAAGCAATTCAAATAACGTTTGTATAAATAAAAATAAAATTATATTAAAAGATCCAACAAGTCTCAACGCAATCTCAATGTATAGAAAGATTAATGAGGAAAGCAAAAGTTAAACCTAATCTAAGTTACTTAATCAACAGAAGGAAAACGTGGGAAAAAAACTCCCAAAGTTGCCTCCTTGACATGGCGGTTTCCAACACTAAGTATCCCCAAAATCGTCATCTCACGTTATTTGAAACCTACGCCTACACCAACAATCATTTGAGAAATATGTCTGCTCGAGTGACTATTGTTAAAAATATGCTTGATCCTCATTAGAACAATATGCTCGTTTTGAATTGTGATTTCCAAAGTATGCCAAGATGGAAGGTCATTTGAAAAACTATGCTTCATAGCGAGTTAGGCGACTTGTGGGGCTACCAAAGTTGCCAAGAGGTTGTAGGAGCCACTTTTTCACCATATGATCTTTTTTCGTTTCTATTCAACCATAGACATAATAGGGGACTTATGTAGCTTATAAAATGCATAAAATCAACATAAAAGAAGATAATTTGACTATAAATACAAGTTAAAAATGTGTTTATCACGATATCATCCTATAATAGCATTTAAGAACATAACTTCTTCCAATGGATCACCATAGAATGTTGATTTCACATTGGATTGGTAAACTTGGCATTATCGTTGAGCTACTAAAGCAAGTACCATCGTCAAGTTTCAAACCTAGCCACCAGATGTGTAATGGACACCATGTTTGTTGTGCCAACCCTTTAGCAACAAGCCTTGCTTTATATTTTTGTGCCTTGTCATCTGCTCCATACTTTGTTTTGAACAACCAGTTCAAGCCTAAGGCATTGTTACCACAAATCTTCTTACTGTCATGTTTCATTCTTGGTTGTTGAATACACAACTTCAACCATAGCTCTTTGCCATATTTTAAAGTAAAAATACAAGAAAACCCATTTTTTTTGAAGTGATTAAATCTTTAGGCAATTTTTTTGGAGGCTTTCCCTGAACCCACGTGACAACAAATTCACCACCATATAAGATAACAGGAAACTAACTGCTTCGGAGAAATCCTGGTCGAATAACTTGGATACAACCCTCTTAAGAAACATGATCAGCCCCCTATCAGTGGCAGACCGATGATCAAAAGAGAAGCAGACCTGCGAACCAACAAGCAAGTCGAGAGGCTTTGTTTGATTAAATGTAGCGTCCCTATATATGTATATATCCATGGTGATCATTTTCTTATCCTTTGTTGCTTATTTGGGCTTTTCCTTAGGTTTGTTGAGCATCACTCAAATTTGTTCAACGGTACATGAAGTGGATTCAAGAAACGTGCAATCTAGAGTACCCCGTACTTGGTGTGATGATACCAATTAAACCCATCTTGATCCTGCACTAAAACTTGAATAACAAGCAATGTTGCAAACTACCAAGGTTGGTGCATTGTGTAACAAAGAGATTTTGATTCCATAGTAGATATGAAAACAGTTGTAGAGGACCAATGTCTGTGTTGCCAGAGGTAACTTAGATTAAGAAACCATGTGGGATGTGGTTAGATAAAAAAACTGGCTTTTGCACAAATCTTCTGTGTTTTGAATAAATTGTTCTAGATGAGGTAGAAATGTTCCCTTGAAAGTCCAATAGTTACATTTATGTTTCTATCTGCATTAAGATCATCTATCCATATGATAATCAACTTTGTTATAATTGATTAATTGACCCTTAAATAACCAAAAATATAACATGTTTATCAATACATAAAAAAAATATGATATTTACGACTCCAGATTGCATTAATCAGATAATCAATTTTAAAACGTAAATCCATACGTCTCTTTAACCATTTTTGAGCTTTTGTTTGTTCTTAAGAAAATATTTTCTCTTTTAAGAATCAATTTTACGTTTGTCTGTGTAATAAACTCAACCTCATTATTTTCAAGGCTTGTTTTTACTTATTTACGTATGTCTTAGTTTACCAAAGGTGTGTTTGGTATAGTAGACATAACAAAAAAGAGCATAACACAAATCAAATATCTTTGTTCTATGTTTGACAGGACGTTTGTATAGAACAAAGTGGAATAGGGGTGTTCCACCCTCACCTCCACGAAACAAGGTGGATCAGACCTATACTTTACCAATATAATCTCAAAATAAAACATAATTCTCTTTTAAAATATCAAATAGACATCCCTCGTTATATTTTATTCATTCTTTAAATTTTATTTATTATATTTTATACTCTTTAAACTTCCACTTCAATGTTCTCAAAATATTATTTTTATACGATTACTATATTTTAGGTAATTTATTAAATATTAGTAATATAAAAATGTATAAAATAAAAATTGAAAACTACAAAACTAATTTTTGTATCATTTTAATTATCTTGACGAAAACTTTCTAATGATATATTCTTTTATAATAAATAATTATTTTATTATAAATTGATAAATTACATAAATTAACCAAAATATATAAAAATATAAACAACTCATTAGGGGTAAATTGGTCATTTTATTTGTCTTGTTTCGTCTAGTTCTATCTTACCAAATGCTTAACATATGCTCTGTTATATTATGTTTTATTTTATACTGTCTGGATATCAAATATACCCAAAGGAAAAAAAGAATTTGTTTGAGAAGTCTAACAAGAGTATTTTTGATTTGCATATTTAGGGGGTGTTTGGGATTGCTTATAAAAGCTGTTTTTTAACTTATTTCAGTCTGACACTGGTAATAAACTGTTTTTTGGTGTTTGGATAAGGAAAAAAAAACTGTTTATACCGGTGCCAAAACGGTAATAAGTTGTTTTTGATAAGTTAATCCTTCCTGACTTATGAAAAACTGCTTATTACCGGTTTACAATTTTAACCCTGTTATATTTAACTCCAGTTTGATACCACATAAGTTAATAAACACTTTTACAAAAAAAATATAAGTTATTTTAAATAAACAATCCCAAACACCCCCTTACTTGGTATCAACATAGATTGAACATGAGCTTATTTAACTTTGTCAATTAAAAAAAATTTGAGTATTTTATTAAAAGTTTACCTTTTAAGATCTCCATACATCTATAAAGATCAGGAGGGTATTCGTATAATGCAACGAGATATATTTTAATTTTAATATTTCGTTTTATTTCTTTATCTCAGTCGATGTGATTTTGAAAAAAACGATAATATTTTTATCTTTGAAAAAATATAAATTTGAAAATATTATAAAAATTTGACAAAAATATATCGATATTAGTATTAAATTAACTATTTAAAATTTCTATTTTTTTGTGTAATTTTTTAATCCAAATTTTTTTTATTATAACTTAATTTAGGTTGAATAAGAAAGTAATTTAATATTTTGTTTAATAATATAATTTTTTATAAAGATAATAATTAATTATTTTGTTAGAACTCAATAATTATCTTAATTATATTTTAGATTTTTTATATTTTAAAATGAGATTTTTATTCTCTATTTGATTATGTTTATCCCCAGTTAGTTACACAAATTCAAACATGAAACTTTTATAAGTTGTACTTACGCATAATTTACTTGTAATCTTGAATTTTAAGTAATATGCATCAATAAACAGTACTTCATACATAAAAAATGATTTTTAAGAGTTTTTGTCAAATGCTTTATAATATAATTTAAAGTTTTTTTTATTATAATTCAAGTTAGGTCCAATAACAAAGTAATTTATATTTGGTTTAATAATATAATTTTGTATAACGATAATAATTAATTATTTTGTTAGAACTCAATAATTATCTTAATTATATTTTAAATTTTTTATATTTTAAAATAAAATGTTTATTCTCTATTTGATTATATTTATTTGCAGTTAGTTATACGAATTCAAATATAGAGCTTTAATAAATTATAGTTACGCATATTTTACTTGTAATATTAAATTTTAAGTAATATGCATTAATAAACAATACTCCATAAATAAAAAAATAATTTTTAAAATTTTTTGTTAAATATTTTATAATTTAATAAATATAAATATAAGCTGATCAATCCTAAGAATTAAAAGATTTCAAAGATCATTTTGTGGTATACCTATTATATTATATAATTTTATTACAGGGTGTTTTGGGATTGCTTATTTGAAATGATTTATATTTTTTTATAAAAGTAGTTATCAATTTATTATAAGTCAGAAGAGTTTAATTTTTTCAAAAATTATTCGTTATCGATATAAATTGTTTATCTAAGAAAAAAAAAAAAAAATGCTTATTGACCATGTGAAACAGGAACAAGTGAATAACTTATTTTTACGAGCAAATCCTAAACACCCCCCTTAGTTCACTGCAAACAAACGGATAAATTTCCCATTCTTTTCTTTCCATCGGCCAGGGGAGATCTCCCTCTTTAAACTTCTAGGGTTTAGAACTACGTATTCTTTTATGGTTGCAGCGTCGATCGATAGTTGAGGACTCGATTTAGGTTTTCATTTGCAATTACAAGTACGTAATCTCACCAAATATACTAAATTTCGTCAATGTCGATTCCAAGCGATTTGTATCCAAGCCAAGATGATCTCCTATACGAGGAAGAACTCCTCAGAAACCCTTTCAGTCTTAAGCTATGGTGGCGTTATTTGATTGCACGAACGGAATCTCCTTTCAAGAAACGAGCGGTAATCTATGAACGAGCCCTCAAAGCTCTTCCGGGAAGCTACAAGCTATGGCATGCTTACCTCCGTGAGCGTCTCGAATTGGTACGCAATTTACCTATTTCTCACACGCAATACCAAACCCTGAACAATACATTTGAACGAGCTTTAGTTACAATGCACAAAATGCCCCGAATTTGGATCATGTACTTGACTAGCTTGACTGAACAGAAGCTAGTTACTCTTACTCGTAGGACCTTTGATAGGGCGCTCTGTGCTTTGCCTGTGACACAGCATGATAGGATTTGGGAACCATATCTCGTTTTTGTGAGCCAAAGGGGTGTCCCAATCGAGACCTCACTCAGGGTTTATAGAAGGTATCTGAAGTATGACCCCGGTCATATCGAGGATCTTATCGAGTTTTTGTTGAATTCTGAGCTATGGCAGGAGGCGGCTGAGAGGTTGGCGGGCGTCTTAAATGACGATAGATTTTATTCGATTAAGGGGAAGACAAAACATAGGTTATGGTTGGAGCTGTGTGATTTGCTTACCCAGCATGCCACAGAGATCTCAGGGTTGAATGTGGATGCTATTATTAGAGGTGGTATCAGGAAGTTTACAGATGAGGTGGGTCGTCTGTGGACTTCGTTAGCAGATTATTATATCAGGAGGAAACTGTTGGAGAAAGCCAGAGATGTGTTTGAAGAGGGTATGACTACCGTTGTCACGGTAAGAGATTTTAGTGTCATTTTTGATGCGTACTCACAGTTCGAAGAAAGTGTGCTGGCTTTGAAGATGGAAGGGATGAGTGAGAGTGAGGATGAAGAGGAAGATGGTGAGAAAAAGAGCGTTGTTGAGGACGAGGAGGATGAAGAAGATGATCGGCTTAATGTGGCAAAGTTGGAGGAGAAACTTAAGAGATTTTGGTTGTGTGATGAAAAGGACGTTGACCTGAGGATAGCAAGATTAGAGCATCTTATGGATAGGAGGCCAGAACTGGCTAATAGTGTTCTTCTTCGCCAAAATCCTCATAATGTGGAACAGTGGCATAGGAGGGTCAAGATCTTTGAAGGCAATCCGACAAAGCAGATATTGACGTACACCGAGGCCGTAAGAACAATTGATCCAATGAAAGCTGTCGGCAAACCTCATACGTTATGGGTTGCTTTTGCCAAATTGTATGAAAGTCATAAAGACATTGCTAACGCGAGGGTGATATTTGATAAGGCTGTACAAGTGAACTACAAAGCTGTGGATAACTTGGCTAGTATTTGGTGTGAATGGGCGGAGATGGAGCTTAGACACAAAAATTTCAAGGGAGCGCTGGAACTAATGAGGCGTGCTACTGCGGAACCGTCTGCTGAGGTGAAACGCAGAGGTAATCTATGGTCTTATGTTACGATTTTCCAGGTTAATAGTTTTCTTCATAACAATTCACGTGTTCTATTCATGCAGATATACCTTTGCAATTGCTTCTCTATTGTTTTTTCTATTTGACCTTTATTACAATGATGCTTCCCGTAGATCAAATTATTTCGTGGATTGTATTTCACTTTACTGTCTATGGTTCTATTTTTTAAATCCCTACAAATAGACTACATTGCCAAAAGGAAAACACCTCACAGTCCATGTAGTAGTACCTTTTCCTGCTATCGTCAACAATTTTCTGTTTCACTTGGTTGAGAACAACCACGTTATTCTAAAACCAAGCATCATGTTTCACCATCTAGCGATTTTGAATAATAATGAATGCAAAAAATTTAAATGGGGTTGGTTAATATCTGCTTTAAAACATCTTTCGAGGGAATTGGGCCTTTGATAGCTTGCAATGTAATCTATATCTGGTGACAGACCAAGCTTATGTGGTGTGATTGTATTAGCAATCTGATCCCCTGGTATTGGTATAGCTTTGTGTACCTGATGTATCTAACTCTTATCAGTATGAAATTTATATAATTGGGTGGAATACATGATAGGAGTGAGCTGGCAGTTAGACCCCCTGATTTCGAGGTTATGCTAGGAGTGTGTAGCCCTTCCTATGTTGGTTACATATTTGTGGACCTTCTATATGTTTGTATTCTTTGCTTGTTTGTTATTTTTTTGGTTGCTTACCTCTGACTAGCATTTCAATTTGCAGCACTGCTTTTCTAGTTTTCAAGTTCTTCTTTTTGTTCTGTCATGTTCTTTTTTCGCATTTCTTCCCACACTATGCACAAGCCGGGGGTCTTCGTGTAAACAGCCACTTTACTCTTCGGGGTGGAGGTCAGGTCTGCCTACATCTCACCCTCCCTAGAGGCCCAGACCACCCCATCTTCAGGGTGGGATATAATGGCTTGTTTGGTTTGGTTGGAATACATGATACTTGGCCTTCTTGTTCCTATTGGAGTGAAGTCCGCAACTGCAAGAGAACTATCAAGGTCATGTAGACATCATGAAGCATATTATGAATTGCTTTCTACTGTATACTTCTGTAGCATGCATATTTTGTAAGTGATAGTTTGGATTCTAGAAATACAATTTACACTGTTTTTTTGCTTATGCATCTTTCTTTTAAATCTTTCTACTCCAGTGGCTGCTGATGGCAATGAACCGGTACAAATAAAGTTGCACAAGTCCCTAAGACTTTGGACATTTTACGTGGATCTAGAGGAAAGTTTAGGCACTTTGGAATCTACTCGTGCAGTATATGAGAGGATCTTGGATCTTCGGATCGCCACACCACAGATTATTATAAACTATGCAATGCTGTTAGAGGTATGGAAGAACCTCTTTGATGTCTTTATTGTTCAGAAATCCTTCATCATCTATTCATTTCTACCCCTTTCTAAAAAACATTCCCAAAGTTTTAAAACGTTTTCTTTCAGTTTCTTCACTATTGCAACTTCTTTTCTCTTCATGTTACCTTCTATTACTTAATGTGTCATAGCTTAAATTTTACTTGCATGTGGTTCAGGATAACAAGTACTTTGAGGATGCTTTTAAAGTCTATGAAAGAGGGGTGAAGATCTTTAAATATCCCCATGTGAAAGACATATGGGTTACTTATCTTTCGAAGTTTGTCAAAAGATACGGCAAGTCCAAACTTGAAAGGGCTAGAGAGCTATTTGAGCATGCTGTTGAGATGGTATGGCTACTTTTCCTTCTTCACTTCTACCTTAGTTCAAAACCAAGACTCTAATTCTACTTGGATACCCTTTGAATTCTGTATTTTTACTTAGGATGTTACAAGGTTATGTCCATAATTTGTCTGGTGAACATTTCTGTGCAACAATGGAAGTTGAAATCTCTTTAATTAAAACATTATATTAAATTAGATTTTTGGTACAAGGCCACTTCGTCCATAATTACCATGATCTTTAGAATTTAGCAGGGATATATGAATAACGGTTGACAATGATTTTGCTCATGTTGCATTGCAACCTAATTACACGTCATTCTGCATGCACTCTATTAACGTTATTTAGGAAATTGGTAGTGGGTACGTAGTCATTTTGCTTTATGTTTATGCTTAATATGTGGATAATATGACATGATTATTCACTGTCTGTTCACAATTTGTGTTATGATTGTAACCTATGCTGGCAATAGCGCTGCAATAGCAGATTGCTGTCAAGATGAATTGCGGTTCTAAAATAGTGGTGATTTATAGCGGTGTTATTCACCGCTATTTCACCATAATTTTGTATCATAATAGCTGTCCACTATACTGCAATTATTCACGGACCATTTCAGTGTTGGGGCTTTAGGTTTTTAGGATTTTGGGCGTTGTTTCAATATTTTATGGGCCTTTTTTTCCTTTTACTTTAATATTTGATTATTTGTTGGGCTTAGGTTTGACAAGGTTTAATAATCACTTGACTTTTTAGCGTTTTAGTTGACCTAAATTAAATCCATCATCCAATCCTGCCTTTCAACTTTCTTCGACTGAATCCATATCCAAACTTTGATCGTCCCTTTCCATCATCCAAGGATCTCGACTTTCACCCAGCAGATCAGCACCACTCAACTGATCCATATTCAAGCTCCATCCCACTCGACTGATCTATATTCAAGTTTTTACACATGAATATTTGCTTATGTTGTATTGTACCCTAATCACATATGTCATCCTGCATGCTATCCATGAACACTGGTTAGTGGTTATATATGAAATCGGTAGCAGCTACTTAGTCATTTTGTTTTATGTTTATGCTTAACATATGGATAAAATCACATGATTATTCACTCTCTGTTTACAATTTTGATCTGTTATGATTGTAATGTACTGTTTCAATCTCTTATGATTGCAACTTATTGGTTTGATCTCCATGATTGTTGAACAGGCCCCTGCTGAAGTTGTAAAGCCATTGTATCTTCAGTATGCTAAGTTGGAGGAGGATTATGGTCTAGCTAAACGAGCCATGAGGGTTTATGATCAAGCAACAAAGGCTGTTCCACCCAACGAGAAGTGGAGCATGTATGAAATTTACATAGCCCGTGCATCTGAAATATTTGGAGTTCCTAAAACTAGGGAGATCTATGAGCAGGCAATTGTGTCTGATGGACTTCCTGAGAGGGATGCGATGAAGATGTGCATCAAGTATGCAGAGCTTGAGAAGAATCTGGGTGAAATTGACCGTGCACGTAAAATATATGTTTATGCATCTTGGTTGGCAGATCCTCGGACTGATGGTGACTTTTGGAATAAGTGGCATGAATTTGAAGTACAACATGGCAATGAGGACACTTTCCGAGACATGCTTCGCATTAAGAGGAGTGTTTCTGCAAGACATAGCCAGGTATGCTTACTTTATCGAGTTTATTTTTTGTCCTCTTCTGTAAATTCTAGGAATACTCTTAAGGATCTAAGCTACACACTCCCTCCCACTAAAGATTTGAGCACCGGTTTCCTTTTAGTTTAATTCCAGGATTATACTTTTACTTCCAGATATACCTTAAAAATGCTGTAGGGACACACCCAATTTTGCACTTCTAGTCTACTTCAATTATCATCATTGTCTCATCAGTATGGTCGGCACCTTACCAGTAAGTAGCAAAGGTCGAGGGTAGCCATAATGTATTGATGGTTCTTGGCTTTGGGAGGATTGAGGAGGGATGCCTTTGTGCTTGTGATGTGACCATAGGGTGCGTTTGGTATGTAGACGGGACTGGACAAGGCGTAACTGGATTGGGGAGAGTGAGGTAGGCAGATGAAAGAATTACGGAAGGTTTAGGGTTTTAATTTGACATGGGTAGTTTAGTATTTTACCAAGCTTGCCACCTCTCCCAGGTTTTTGTTACACCTATTTTGGTTAGACAGAAAGATGCATTCTTGTCTCTCTCGGTCCTGTCCGGTCCAGTCTAATTGTCACACCAAACGTGGTACAAGTTTTTGTTCTGTCATGTCCTGTATTATACTGTCATGCGTACCTTGGTTTCTCCAGCCTTGCTTGCATGGGTTAGAAGTGATCACAACACATGTAAATATGCGAATGGGACGACCATCTTATTTCAGGACTAGGATGTATGCATCATATTGCTGGTTGCTGATGAACTGTTCATTAGCAGCTTTGACTCTTCCTTTACTTTTTACTTGTATCCTTCAAATGATAATTAAAGATGGTAGAGGGGTATTATTGGCATAAGAATAAGCTATAGTCACAATACCAATGGATTTTATTGGTTGTTGCAGACACATGTTATGCTCCCCGAGTATCTGATGCAGAAGCCTACTGTTGATGAAGCCATGGATCAACTGAAGAAAGCCGGTGTTCCTGAAGACGAAATGGCTGCTTTAGAAAGACAGTTGGCGCCTGCCGCCCCAAAGGATCTCTCCACCAAAGACACTGGAGCTAGAAAGCTTGGATTTGTGAGCGGTGGTTTACAATCATCAGAAACCGCTTCCGGAATCCTAAATCAAGAAGAGATCGAGCTTCCAGAAGGAAGTGGGAGTGATGAAGAAGACGATGATGGTGATGGGAAAGTTGAGATCGCACAGAAGGATGTACCCGAAGCTGTGTTTGGAGGACTCGTTAGGAAAAGGGACGAAGAAGCAGAAAAGGATAAAGAAAATGGAGATGGCGGCAGCCGTCTTGGTGCCCTGGAACGAATTAAGCGGATGCGCCAGGGTAACTAGTTTTTCCAGGTTCGGAGTTCGGCTAAGTTTTTGTGTTCCTCAATAACTTGAGAATTATTTAGAAGAATGTGGTGTAAAAAACTTGTTCTCGATATCTACTGCTAGGAGGAATCTTCTCATTTGTTATATGGATTTTGTAAACTAATGGAATTTAATGGAAAATGTCTTCATCTTTGATGAGCTTCATTTCCCATGGGGCATTCTTACTTCTTCCATTTCATTTTACAGTTGTTGAACAGTCCCCCTAGGAAGCAAATCTAATCCTCTACCACAAATTACATCAAATTGATTAGGAACCCTGGAACCGTTCACAACAAGTTACACATGTTCCTTTTCAAGATAAATGAATATTCATCAGGAATAACACATTCATGATGAACATGGATACATTTTTAATAAATAACATCAACCATATTCACCACTCACACATTCTTAACCAAATACATATAAAACAAATATCTGTTAATCAATACTTTAAAATATAGTTTTACATGGAAAAAACATATATGAAACATTAACTCAAGTTACAACTTCTTAAAACTTAATGTGTAAAACTGATAGAATTAACTAATATATACGTTTAAATACAAAATGAACACCAAAACACTAAAATACTCTATAAAAATTAATAACAAAATCATCCAAAAATTCTACCTAGGGGTCCATTCAAGGGAGAAATGATTAGTTTGTGGTAACCATGAGATCTAATGTGAATCATTCGTTTGAGATATTTAAGGATATTTCTTAAATAAGCTAAAAGGGTAATATAGTAATTTTATTTTTGACAACTAATCAAAATATTTGATTAAATTTTTAGAAGAAAATATTTAATTAAAATTAATTTACCTAGTATATCAATTACCTAATATACATCGTATTTTAAAGACGTTTGTGAATCAAAGTGTATCATAGTGATAACATTCACAATATTTCACATGTATCACAATTACTTTATTTGTTTTATGAAATGGTATCATAGTGTGCATTTTCGTTATTTTCATTGCTTTACAAAGGGTATCACACTGTGCATCTTGTATGTGTACCTGGGGTATCATAGTATGTGTCTTGTTTTCACATAAGGTTCATCGGAATAAGGTTCGCCGAATAAGATTGCCCGGAGAGAGGAAAGCAAGAGATTAGGGGTGTTCGCGGTCCGGTTTGGGCGGTTTAACCCCTCAGACCACAAACCAAACCGTAATGACGGTTTATAAAATTTTCAAACCGAGCGGTTTAACATCAAGTGCCTAGACCGGTCAAACCAAACCACGAAAAGGCGGTTTGGTCTGACCGGTTTAGGCGGTTTGGGCCTTTAATGGACTTTAAATATTAAACTTAAAAAACATATATAATTTATAATTTTAGATTAAATATTCATTTTAACAAAACAAAATATCTAAACAAATAAATGTTATAATTAAGCAACTATTGAGTACAAAGTCGAAGCAATCCAAAGTACAAACAAATAAATATATAATACATATTATAAAACAAATAAATTAACAAAGTTACAACTCCACTGTAAATATTGAATAACAAAATCCACGACTTCACAACCTTCAATAGTTCAATTCTTGAGTCTTGAGTTCTTGACCAAACAAAATAGAAGCCAAATCTAAGTTGGTTGAATCACTTGGTTGATTTGATGATGTGCACCGCACTCAAACCATGGATTAGAAAGATCGATAGTTTGATAGAGTTCTTGAGGAATTTCAAAATTTGGAGAGCGTCAATATCAAATGTGTCGATATGTTTAATGGTTTAATGATTTTAGGCGCCGATTTTGATTATGTTAGATGTTAGGCTTAGGGGTATATTTGGGTCATAGTTCATAAGTTAAAAAAGTTGGTCTTGCTAATACTAAATAAATAAATAAATAAATATATATATATATATATATATAT